GGCGGGCGTAGAGCGGCCAGTGGAAGTGGGCGAAGTCGGCCCCGGAAGGGTGGTGCCTTGGGCAGAGACGGGCTCCGGTGTCATCGTGGAAGGCCCAGCGCGCGGGGCTGGAGTGGTGCTCTGTTCCAGGGAGGTTCCCTCCGGCGGCGTGGCAGAAGAGTGGGCGAGCCAGGGAGTGCTTAGTCCCTGGGCGAAGGTTGGCTCAGTCCGGCCCGCAGCAGTAGGGGAGCTGACAGTGGAGGCGGCCGGCTCTCCAGCGGACCTGCTCCCTGCCCCAGCAGGGCTGGAGCGTGTAGACAGGAGCGAAAAGGTGCTCCCTCCTGCAGCTGGGCTGGCTTCTGCCTGCGTAGAAGAGCTCGTGTGGAGCGGCGCAGTGGCGGCCTCCTTGGTGGACGAGGGCCGCGGACTCCGGGCCGGAGAGGATGCCCTCTGCATGGGAGGGGACGTGGGCTGGGCAGACCCGGACGCTGGGGCACGGGCGCTGGTCACTTCGGCCGAGGTTAGCTCAGCCTGAGTGGGAGAAGCCTTGCCGGCGGTGGGCATGGTTTCAGCTTCCGGAGACGTCGAGCCAGCGTTCCCGGTGGAAAGCTGTGTCATGGGCGTGGATCCGGTGGCCTCCAGACTCGAGGCTGCCTGCTTCCCAGCCATGGGAGATGTTGCCGAAGGGAGGTAAGCCGTGCTCCCTTCCGCTGCTGTCGCTTCGGCCTGGGTTGAAGGCCTCGCCGAGGGGAAGGAAAGGGTGGTCTCCTCGGTGCGGGCGGGCGTAGAGCGGCCAGTGGAAGTGGGCGAAGTCGGCCCCGGAAGGGTGGTGCCTTGGGCAGAGGCGGGCTCCGGTGTCATCGTGGAAGGCCCAGAGCGTGGGGCTGGAGTGGTGCCCTGTTCCAGTGAGGTTCCCTCTGGCGGCGTGGCAGAAGAGTGGGCGAGCCGGGGAGTGCTTGGTCCCTGGGCGGAGGTTGGCTCAGTCCGGCCCGAAGCAGCAGGCGAGCTGACAGTGGAGGCGGCCAGCTCTCCTGTGGACATTCTCCCTGCCCCACCACGACTGGAGCGTGTAGACAGGAGCGAAGAGCTGCTCCCTCCTGCAGCTGGGCTGGCTTCTGCCTGCGTAGAAGAGCTCGTGGGGAGCGGCGCAGTGGCGGCCTCCTTGGTGGACGAGGGCCGTGGAGTCCGGGCCGGAGAGGATGCCCTCTGCGTGGGAGAGGAGCTGGGCTGGGCAGACCCGGACGCTGGGGCGCGGGCGCTGGTCCCTTTGGCCGAGGTTAGCTCAGCCTGAGTGGGAGAAGCCTTGCCGGCGGTAGGCGTGGTTTCAGCTTCCGGGGACGTCGAGCCAGCGTTCCCGGTGGAAGGCTGCGTCATGGGCGTGGATCCGGTGGCCTCCGGACTCGAGGCTGCCTGCTGCCCAGCCGTGGGAGATGTTGCCGAAGGGAGGGAAGCCGTGCTCACTTCTGGTGCTGTGGCTTCGGCCTGGGTTGAAGGCCTCGCCGAGGGGGAGGAAAGGGTGGTCTCCTCGGTGGGGGCGGGCGTAGAGCGGCCAGTGGAAGTGTGCGAAGCACGACGGGGACGTGTGGTGCCTTGGGCAGAGCTGGGTTCCAGTGTCATGGTGGAAGGCCCAGAGCGTGGGGCTGGAGTGGTGCCCTGTTC